ATTACATAAGAGGCTTGGAAAGGATTAATTGGAGCCATCTCATGTATCTGTTTTTAGTTTGTTTTTTTAGTTTGTCTTTTCCTGTGGGTTCTCAGTGAAGGAAATGGATTCCTAATCACAGCAAAAAGCACTGAGAAACCTGTGAGTCAAAGTCTTTTGGGTATTATGGCAGCCAACAGTTACTTGATTTTGAACATTATGTCCACATCTTCCCCTCTCTACTCCCATTCAGCAGATTTTATTGAGTACTGGGCATTCTCTCTCTTTTTAACCCCTCCTTTTGGGGGATGAAAAATAATATACAAAACAGTTCATAAAACAATTTACAGCTTAACCAAATATAAAATAAACACCTATGCAATCAGTAACCCCAATATTATAAGAAATAAAATCTTCTAGAAGCTTTTTGTTTTGCCTTTAATGTTTAAACCTACAATCTACTTGGAGTTTGATTTCATACTTGGAGTAAGATAAGGTCAAGTTTAATTTTTTCTGAATGGAGATGCAATTACCTTACCACCACTTATTGAAAATAAYTTCTTTCACCTGCTAATTTGCAATGCTTTCTTTCCCATATTATGTATCTCATGTAAAAATTAACCTAGAAATGTATATTATATGTTAAAAAATGAAAGTCCTATGCTCTTCTCCTCCCYACTCCTTGGCCCCACTTCCTAGAGGTAATGACTAATGTGAATAATTTAGGATGGAACCATGTGTAATTTATTCCCTATATGAATAGAATGTTTTCACAAAAATTGTATCAAACTTCTCATACTTAAGTGGCTCAATTCACATAATATATTTGGACACTGTTTCACATTGGCACATTTCACATTTATGATTTACTGAGCAACTGCTTCTACCTGATCGATGCATTGTCTGTGTGAATGCTCTGTGAAATGCCCATTGGCAAGCACAACTAGAATTACTTTAAAGTGAATTTGAGGGGAAATGGAAGAAATGAAAGAATATGTGTGCCTAAATCCACTCTGGGCACCTTGATTCCTTCTTGGTTTTCARGATTATCTTTGAAGGCTTTGCCTCCTCTTCCTGTGCTATCTCTTGCCTGGGGCCTTCGGCCCACAGGACTCTGGACAGTGCTGTGCAGTCCTCACTCATGTGTGCAATCACCTGGCACTTCTATGACAAGGGCACCTGAAACTTGGGAATAAACCCTTTGCATCTCCAGCATAAGAAGAATTGGGATGATGCTTTCATCTCAACATTTCTTTCGAGAACTATGTACCACATGGCCCAGGAGWACTGCTTGGCTCAACAGCTAAAAGAACTTTTCTTTGGAAATGACTTTAAACTTATTTATTTTTCTAAAGGCAAAAAGTGATATTTGAGCGTCCCTGAAGAGCAGAGGTGACTCAGCAGAGATTTTTGCTGAGACTTTATGGGAATGCATTGCAACAAACATTCTCTACACATGATGGTCCTCTAATGTGGATGGAGATTTATTGGCCTGTAGATAAGACAAATTGAGGCTTTATGAGAGGCACAATTTTCTGAAGTCACTTAAAGCTGATTTCATGAGAGTGCTATTTGTACATCCTCAAGCTTGCTATTTAAAGAGATTTGTTCAGTTTTGACAAAATTGCTCTGAACATGAGCAATTTTCTCCTATTGTGGAGTGTCTCATTTTCAGATGCTGTTATACATTCTTCCAGATGCACTCTCCCTTCTCTCRCTCTCTCTCTTAGACCCCCTGAAGGCCAGAGTTAGGAGGCTATGCAGGAGGTAGGAGTAAATTTGCTAAATGATGATCTGAGCTTACCTCTGCTCCACCTGGGCTGCTCCAGCACAAGGCCGCTGTACTTGCYCACCTACCAAGGTCAGATAAACGTCATGCACTCAAGAAACAGGAGAACCATTGCAAGCACTTGTTTCTCCACTCTCCAAGATCTGTTTATTTGCACCAATATGAATATGGATTTGTTTTAATGTACAGTTTCCAGAGCAGGCTTAATTTGGACAGAGAACTTTCCATTATTCCCACCCTAAGTGGAGGAGGTGCCTAAGATAGAAGGTGGAACTTGAGCACACTCAGCTCCCTTTGTGGGCCCAGGAAGCCATTCCTGTGACCCCAGTAGTCTTATTGTGCCCAAGCTAAAGAAATTAAGAAAGGAGATAGGCATATTTTTAAGGAAGGCAGAAAACAAACTTGCTGTAGTCCCTCAAGTATGGCAGAGAGAAGATGAGATTAAAGGCATCAAGAGACCTGGAGATCAGGCAGTAGCAGCATTTCAACAACAGTAGACACCATAGAGGAGGCCCACTGGGTAGCTATTGATGCTTATTTTATCTTCCCAAGACTCTCTGGAGCATTATAGTATTTTGTACAGTTAAGGAAACAGACTTGGAGACATGAATCTTGCAGTACAATAGGTAGAACACAAGTTTGGAAGTCACTTATTGGCCATGTGGCCTTAGGCAATTCCTTTGACCTTCCAGGACCTAAGTTTCCAATTTGGCTAAAACATCTCTAAACTCTTGTTTCCATTCTGTCTTAGTGGATTGATCTTGTAAGGTAGAGAAATCCAAACATAAAACTCTAATAAACTTATGACCATTAGACCTTGCAAGGGAACAAGTRCCCATTCAACAATATTCATTACCCCTGACTCTGGGTGAGGCCCTAGGATGAGGAGATGAACAACAAAGGCCCTCTCCTCCTGGAGTTGAATTTTGATGATCTGGGGAGGGGCTTAAATAGACTATTTCTTAGAACAGTTTTTGATTTATAGAAGAACTGAGGAAGTAATGGTAACAGTTTCAGTATATCCTTTCACCCAGGTTCCCCTAATAGACGCCTTACCTTGGTATGGTGTGTGTGTGTGTGTGTGTGTGTGTGTGTGTGTGTGTGTATCCATTACAATTAATAAGTCAATATGGACACATTATTATGAATTAAATCCCATGGTTTACTCAGATTTTGGTTTTTACCTAGTGTCTCACTTTTTGTTCTAGGATACTGTAGTACACACTTAGGCATCATGTCACCTCAGACTCCTCTTGACTTTGACAGAATCTCCAGCTTCCCTTTCCTGACAGTTCTGAGAAATTCTGGCCAACCTATGATTCTCCTGGCTCAGCCTCCTGAGTAACCATTGGGAGCTCTTTCAGTCTGCTCRCCTCTTTGACATTCCAGTCAGCACAGGGGTTTTCTGGCTTTTTTTTTTAGTATTTCCCTACTTGTATGGTACTACAAAATGTTCCAGGCTCATACTGCATTGTTTCCTGCTGCAGTTCTAGAATCAGCCATTTCTCTAAGGAACTCTGGTTTTTATCTAGGTGTTAGGTGTACTAGTTGCTGATGAAATTGTGGAATTATGTTAAAATGGAAATTTCTTCAGCTTATAAAATAATTATGTGCTCATCATAAAAAATAATTAGAAACTTCAGAAATGTATACACACAAAAAATGATTTAATTATTTCTACTATTCACTACCATGAACAGAACACTTTTTGCTTTTTTTTTTTTTTTTTCTCATTGGATTTACATAGCCAGAACTGGAGTAACAGACTGGGGAGGATAAAAGTGGAATTGCTTTTGTTCCTAAAAATGTATAGAATGACATGTGCATGTCTGTGATTCCAGCTATTCAGAAGGCTGAGGCAGGAGGTTCTCAAGTTTGTGGCCAGCTTCAGCAATTTATCAAGATCCTGTCTCAAAAAAAGGGAGTGGGGGAGGGATGTAGCTCAGTGGTAGAGCTTCTCTGGGTTCAATCTCTAATACTGGAAAAAAAATGGGGGGGGGGTAAGATGTTGGTAACAACACAAATTTCATGGCCAGTTATTGCTCCAACAGTCTGGAAGCGCTTGGTGGAACTATAAARGATAGGAAGTGGATGGGACTTTGAAGGTTGTCTGGTTCATTCTCTCATTGTAAATAAATATGTTGGCTGTTGGGAAGTTGTGGTGAGGTTCTCTATTCAGGGACTGGCTAAGCCAAAGTCCTACCTCAAGGTAGTTAGAGAGCCTGGCCTGAACTGAGAGCTGGGCACCTGATTCCAAGTCAATCTACTTTGCTTTTTCAGTACAATAAATAATCATTAGCTGGATTAACACATATCAGCAATTAAGAGAACTAACTTTGGAATCAGATAGATCTAAATAGAYTTCAGTTCTATCTTCATTACTTATTGCTGTGTGACACTGGGCAAGATAATCTTAACTTCCCCAAGCCTCATATTCTTCATCTGAATAATAATACTAATGGTTACAATTATATAGTGTTATACTAAGTTTCAGACACTTCACGCATTTAATTAATTAACTTTTCATAACAACTTCGTATAGTAGATGCTATAATTATCCAGATTTTACARCTGAGGAAAACAATATGCAGAAAAATAAAACAACTTGTCAGGGTTGGTAAATAGTAGAGCCCCGCTTTGAAGCTGGACAGTCTGATTCCAAAGCCTATGTTCCTAAACATTACATGACACCTTCTCTCTTTATCTTAATAACGTATCCAACTTTTCCCAGAAAACTTCAGGCTCTTTCTCCTTCTGCTCCAGAGCTCTCATGAGTGAAATTTCATAACTCATTAATGGGACAACGGGATTCTAGCAGGGGGAATGCAACTTGCTCTGGGACAGAAGCCTTGGATTCTACTCAGGATTAGTGCCAGCATCTTGCACAGGAGCTTATGATTTTAAAACGCATAAGGTAGTAGGGAAAGCCATGAGATTTGGAGTCACAAACCTAAGATTTAAGCACCACTTCTTTAATTCAAGTGCACTAAGCAAGTCACTTAAAAACCTGACCTCCTTGCGCAGAGAATGGAGCCGGGAATATATGTGAATTAATGTGAACGTAATTCAGCTCGACGTTTGTCGTTTCAGCTAGTGAGTCTCGATAAACCTGGTGGAGAGACTCTAGCCACCCTAAACATTCCAGGAGAGAGAGCAAGGAGGCCTTTCTAGGAGAATAACTTCAAGGAAACCTCCAGACCATAGAGCTCAGTTCCTAGAGAGGCCTATCGTCACTTCCGCTCGCCCCTCTAAATTGCGCCTGCGCACAACMTCTCTTCCTCTTCGGTCTCGGGCCTAAGTCGCGGAGACATGGTGAGTGTGATAGTTCTTGTAGCGTAAGTGTTTATCCGTCTGCATCTGTCCTCTCGCTTTTTCTCCGCGCCCGCCTCGGCCCGCGAGCCCTTCCCCGAGCCCTTTCCAGTCTTTATGCCCTCGCCTTTTCTGGAGACTTGACTCTGGGACACGCCGAGGCGGCGGGGCAGGGACAGCTTGCCAGGCTCTCGGAGCTTTGGGCGCGTCCCGGACCCCTGTTTCACCGGGTTTAATTTTTTAAAAACTAGGTCACAGAGGAGGGGCTGAGGGGTGGCAGAGATGTGTGTGGAGACACCGGGACCTGGGTCTCAATTCTAAATGTCATTGGTCTGTCCTTTTCCTCGATCTCAACAGGCTAAGCGCACTAAGAAAGTCGGAATCGTAGGTAAATATGGGACCCGCTACGGTGCCTCCCTCCGGAAAATGGTGAAGAAAATCGAAATCAGCCAGCACGCCAAGTACACATGTTCCTTCTGTGGCAAAGTAAGGTGATCTGGGGAGGGGACAGGCTTCCTCTCCAAGGGGGCTTATAAACAGTGCTGGTGAGCACTGGGGATTGCACATACAGTCAATTACCATTTGTGAAAAGAGAGCAGGGTGGTACCCTTAGGTTTTGGGAAATGTTCTTCATTTAAACAAAATTACTGAGGAACTGAAGGATAAAAAGGATAGTCCGCATCTAGTAACATCCTTTTAACAAATATTTGGCCATTTACTAGGTGCTTAAGTTGGTTTTCTTGTGTACAAATTAAGCTCCTGGAAGCTGGCAAGATAAAAAGGTTTTTGTTTGATTCATAGTGAGAAATTGATTGTTTTGCAGACCAAGATGAAGAGACGGGCTGTGGGGATCTGGCACTGTGGTTCCTGCATGAAAACAGTGGCTGGTGGTGCCTGGACCTACAAGTGAGTCCATTTTTTTGTTATTTAAAAGTCTGTAGCAACAGCATAGGCCTCTTTCGCCCCTGATGGGTTAGGAGAGTAAAGATGCTTTGGGGGGCCCTCCCCCAGAATTCTTTAGTGTCATGGTTTATTTTACATTCAAAGAATAGAAATAAAACTATTGAAATAAAATTTTATGAGATGCTTTGAAATCCTGTAAACTGGGGTCATTGTTAGTGTTGTGATATTTTGCAGGTCCCTTGCTGATACCTTGAGACTGTACAGAACCTTGGCTTGCACTGCAAGTTGTTTTTTTTTTTTTTTTAAGATAGTTTTTAAGAGGTCATTTGGTTTAAAACTATATGGAAACTTGAAACCATATGGACCTTCATACCTCTGTTGTTTTGGATTTATTTGCCATTGTGACCCTACAGGGCCAGGTAATACTATTAGGGGGGAATATATATATATATACACACATATATGTGCTGGTATTGCTTGTTTTGACTCTTCAGTGTATACATTTCCAGAAATTATAGCTGTCCTTAAAGGCTTCTAGAAGTGGAGTTGTTTGTTGACTCTGAATTCTCAAAGCCTGACTTTTTACTCAAGCCAGTGTAGATCTGTSCTGTCCGCAACAAACTAGCCATATGCAATATGATGTATGTGTATTTTTAAGTGAATTTTGACCTTCAACTGAAATAGTGGAAAATGTTAAAATGTTAATATGGATGTATATTTAAGCATCTCGTTTTAATTTGTGGTGACAAACAGTAAAATGATGCCAAGAGTACTTAGTCCCGATAGTAAAGTGAAAGAGCATTCTTAAGCCCGCCATGGAATAGTTTTGTGACTTTTCCTGAATTTTGTTCTAAATATTTGTGGTCACTTTTTTGTTCGATTTTTGTTGTTGTTGTTGTTGGTTTKGGGGGCAGGTACCAGGGATTGAACCCGGGGGTGCTTAACCACTGAGCCACATCCCCATTCCTTTTTTTTTTTTTTTTAATGTGGTGCTGAGGATCGAATCCTGGTCCCGCTCGTGCTAGAGGAGCGCTCTACCACTGAGCCACAACCCCAGCCCATTCCTTTTTGAGACAAGGTCTCACTAAGTTGCTTAGCATCTTGCTAAATTGTTGAGGCTAGCCTCAAAATTGCAGTGCTCTTGCCTAAGCCTCTTGAGTCTCTGGGATTACAAGTTTGTGCTACCTCGCTCAACTCTAGTCATTTTAATATCTCTTTTTTGAAAAAGCTTAAAGAATTGTTTGATCTTTATATGCCTATAGTCCCTGCTACTTGGGAGGCTGAGGCAGTAAGATGTAAGTTTGAGGCCAGCCTCAGCAACCTGTCTCAAAAAGGCCAGAGTTACAGGGGGTTAATGTGGCTTAGTGGTAACAGTTTTATAACTTGGCCTAAGTATGTGCTAAGCTGTGGATTCAATTCCCAGTAACAATCCCCCCTCCCCCCCAAAAAAACCTATCTTATTGTATTGGCTTGAAACTTTATTCATTTCTTCTATGTATTCCCATTTGATGAATTTAGGCAAGCTATTCCTCTCCTTTTTTAAAAAAATACTGTTTAAGAGRTTAGTTATATGCACTTGCCTTCTAATTCTGTAAGAGCCTAAAGGTGTGGCATCTTAAAAGATGCCATAGTATAGTTTTGTGAGCCTCTGATTTCTGAATAATAGTTTTAATATTAGTTAAATCTTTGGGTTAACTGCAAGTAGTCTTTTTCCAGCAGTTAAGAAAGTCTTTAGGATTTTCCTGTAACAATGAGGTAGCTTTATTTGACATTTTATACTCTAATATGCTTAATTTATTGGAAACTGAATTTTTCTTCACAGCACCACTTCTGCTGTCACAGTCAAGTCTGCAATCAGAAGACTGAAGGAATTGAAAGACCAGTAGAAAGTTCTACCATATAGCAAAATTGTGGTTTGTTTGTTAATTGTATTAACTGGATRTTCTGATGTGAATTGYATTAATATTGCCCTTTCAAAAGATTTGTAAATTGAAGCCCTTCTAATTTGAATTGGAAAATTTTGCTAGATGGGTTATTGTAATTCAGGTCTTTTTTCTTCAGTAGTCAGATGATAAYGGCAGGAAACTAAGTCTTATGGCTTAGTATATACTCAGCTTTTTTTGTTTTTTTTAAACACTGTTCAACTACTCCGAGATACATTGATATTGTACAAAATTTGTTTTAAAGGTAAAATATGCTAAAATACACAAAGGATATACATAAATTGCCTCTCTTGGTGTTTCATTTGAGTGCACATGAACATGTGAAACAGTTRTATAACAAATTTTGAATGTGTCTGCCATCCTTTTGTTTAGTTTTCACACAAGGGTTCATAGATTGAATTCAATTTCATATAGATTGTAACAAAAGTGTAAGTTCCTTGGAGGAGTTTACTAGTTACGATTAGTTCTGGTGGTTATTATCTCTTTCTCAGCCATGTCTAAGCAGCCATCTGTGGTAGGGACTCCAAAATCAGTAATTCTTCATGAATGTAAAGGTTATAAAACATGGATTTCCTTTACTGTTAGAATAAAGACCTTTGTGACTTTTCTGGAATCAACCCCTTTCTGATAAATCTTGCTTTTGCCCTTTAGTGATCCCCCCGCCCCCGCCCCAAATAGCTTATACACAGATGTTTCCTTCATCTACTCCAGAGCTGGTTCTGGCACAAATATCACCTCAGGGCAGTACTTCTTCACTGGGTCAACCTCTTCTAAACTCATAAAAATAATGGGTTAGATTTTTTGTTTTAAGTTATTGTTTCAACAGGATTTAGCTTATTGTAGTGTACTCAGTACCAAGCATAATTCCTTGCACTTGGTCTGCGGTCTGCTTAAGTAATGAGTAAATGTGGTCTTTTTTCTTTTTTTTTTTACAAGATTTTGTACTCTACTGATTTTTGTCCTGTGAAGCATTATTTGGTATTGTGGGTCAGTGATTGGTGGTACCATGAGGGACAAATTAGACTATTTCATAGTGTTTGACCCAGGTCTTCATAGGAATTTCCAAGTAGTGGCTACAATTTCTAGTCAGCATTGAGAGTTGAATTAACTTTAGTTGCCCTGAAGTGCACCATGTAGCTACACTGCCTAACTAGYTGGGCATTCTGGGTTAAATTAACTCTGTTGCAGTTTGCTGTAAAATGCCTTAGAATAGAGTATTTAGGGGGTTTGGAATCATGGTTGAGGTCTTCTGTGTTACCTTGCTAGGAATTAGCCTGAGTCACTAAGAGTACTGTCTTGTTCAATCCAACAACTTGACAGATACATAATGTTCAATTTACATGTAAGAAAATTAAGTAGTTTATGAATACCTTTTTTGGGGGGGTGAATCTACATACTTCTGGCATCAGCTGAAAGTGAACATACATAGAAAGTGGTGAAGCACAGTTTTCCCAGTGGGAAGAATTTAAAAGGTAGGATCTGTTTTGCAAAAATGATTTGAGGTGAAGCTTTATACTGATTCTTAGGCAGTGGCTAATGGTTTGGCCAACAAACAGGTCAGAATTTCAAGAACAAGAAGGAAAAACAAGGCTAATTCAAGGTTCTAAATAGAACTATGGACATTGCTCTCATTGATGAAATAATTCATTCTGAGAACATCAGCTGTTTTCCCCAGCCACCAACTTGTTGCTTGTTCAAAAAGCCCGTGAACAAAACAGTCATGGTAGTAAGAGATGGAACCTGTGTATGAGCTCTAAAACATGGACCTCTCCTCACAAAGGCAGAGCTGCTGTACCATTCACAAAGGGTACCTAGATCTAGCCAAGTTATTACATTGGACATCTGCCATCATTTCAAAGAGCAACAGTATGTTAAGGACAGGCATTGAGCTGGGTAGGTAGCTCAGTGGGATAGTACCTGCTTAGCATGTGCAAGGTTCAATCAGCACTACTTACCCACTAAAGTAAATAATCTGTGTATGAGCTGTACACAGGTATGGATTTGTCTTTCGTACATACAATATGTCTGCAGGTGCTTTATCTGTCATTGTGGTATCCTATGCAGTATAGTCTGACAGTATGGAATAAAGAAAGTCATTTGGTTACAAGAGACAGCATGCTTTAGGATATTGGCTTGCTCTGAAAACTTGGGTATATACTAACCTGGAGTAAATTTACTGAGCATAAGGTAACTGTCCTACAAGATGTCTGTAATTCAGTCTACCAGTATATGGTGCCATCTTCCCAATAGCCAGGATGGATGTGTCAAGAAATCAGATGGGATATGAGACTGTACCCACTGAAGATTAGGCCAGTTGTCTCTGAAGGCATTTTTTGTTTTCTGTTTAGCTTGCAACCTTAAATTTGATAAGCTCAGGGGTTCTGGTGCTTACTGCCTATTTTTTTCTTAGGACCATATTTTTGACTGGATTTAAAAAGTCAATATGTTGATTATTTTGGGTTTTGTATACCATTGAACCAACAGGCAGGAAAGGTGGTCTTCTACTTACATTGTCTTTTGCAGGGGTGGTAATGGGGATTGAACTCTGGGGCACTAGACTACTGACATCCCCAGCCCTATTTTGTATTTTATTTAGAGACAGGGTCTCACTGGATTGTTTAGCACCTTGCTTTTTGCTGCGACTGGCTTTGAACTTTTGCTGGGATTATAGGAATGTGCCACCACACCCAGCTAAACAGTTTTGTGGTAGATTTCTAGGAGATTTCTCATATTCCTATATATGATCTATAAGGATGGACTCCCTTGTCCTTGCATTCTAGGTAGGTTCAAAAAGTGAGAAGTACCAGCAGAATATCCAAAAGTGGAGTCATAATTATTTTTCCTGCTTCTTGCTTTAAAGAGAGACTTCTATTAGGTTGGATATAGCTCAGTTGGTACAGTGCTTGCCTCACATACACAAGGCTTGGGTTAAATCCCTAGTACCACCAAAAAAAAAAAAAAAGATTTCTATTAAAGGCCATAGTTCCCATTAGGTGGTCTTTGCTCTATTACGAACAACTACTGAGATTTATTCCTTTAGGCCTCAGTGTGTTAATGACTCTTGTTACTTGCTGTGGAAAGCTTCATCAGTCCACTGTAGGTTTCTTAATTTTGAGACAGGGTCTGGCAATAACAGTACTTTCCTTTGGCTATGAAAAGATGATCACATGGCACAAGCCAAAGAAAGTGATGAAACAAAAGTATTTCTTCTAGGCATTTGTAAATTGAGCAGTCATAACAGGGAGTGGCTATCTGAGATGGAGCCCTTCCTTTAGTGAAAGTATATTAAGTAAAAGACCATGGATTGCTGTCTAGGAGATTCTCTGAAGTTACCCTGATTCTTGCCTGGATATTATCTCWTTTATTTTTTTGTGAGCGACCCAGTGTGAAGTCAGACTCTCAAGGGCTGCATCCTAGAAGTAGGAGTGAACAAGAACTAAATGCCCTTGTAGAGACTAAAGATGACTCCAAATAATCTTAATCCATGATTGAATTTAGTTAGTCTAGCTAATTCTTAATAGTGCTCTAGCTGCCTACAGGAAGCAAATGCAAATCCTCTCTGAAAATAAAATACTTTAAATTCCAGTTTGTAATAATTTTTTATATATCATGTCTGGACTTTAGTGAAAATAACTAGGCATTCAAGGGGACAAGACAATTAATAGACAATTGAAAAAGACTCGCAGGGTGTCCAAATAAGTTATCAAACATCGACTTAAAAATAAATGTTTCTGGGGCTGGGGATGTGGCTCAAGCGGTAGCGCGCTCGTCTGGCATGCGTGCGGCCCGGGTTCGATCCTCAGCACCACATACCAACAAGGATGTTGTGTCCGCCGAGAACTAAAAATAAATAAATATTGAAAAAAAGTTTCTTATAGACAAATATTAAGAGACAGAATTTCATTACAAAAAATTTGTTTTAGAGTCTTTTAAAAATGTACTTATTTGTAGGATACATTGATAATTTGATACAAATATGTAATGTATATGATCAAATTAGGGTCATTAACATTTTCCTCAAATAATTATCATTTCTTTGTGTTGAGAACCTCAAAACTCTTTCGATTCTTTATTAAATATGTAGTTCTTGTAAACTGTTGTAACTCTACTGTTACACTGATATTTATCTAAAAAGTGATCTTGAATTAAGTGATTTAATGACTAAAATAGAGTTCCATGGGTGGATCCAGCAGCACAGTAGATGCAGCCTAAGAGAATTTCTTCGAAAGGTAGGTCAAAACAAATCTAGGTTGGCCACAGTGGTGCACACCTATAATCCCAGCTACTTGGGAGACTGAAACAGAATGATCACAAGTTCAAAGCCAGCTTGGGCAGTTTAGCCCAAGACCCTGTCTCAAAGTTTAAAAAAAGGACTGGGGATGTATAGCTCAATGGTAAAGTACCCCTGGGTTTGAAGGCTAGCACCACCCCCCATCCCCCCCCCCAGAAAAAAATAAATCCAGAAGCACAAAAACAATGGAAATGAACATGTAAGTGTAGGAGGCATATAGGAGCTACAGGAATAAGTTCTAACAAGTAATTGGAGTTAAAGGAGGAGAGAGGTGAGATAATAATGGCCTAGAATTTTACAAAACCAATGAGAGGTCAAGCCACAGATTCAAGAAATCCTTGTAGACCTTACTTAAAATAAGCACACATGCACACACAAATCATGCCAAAGAATGTCATAGTATTATTGAATACTAAAAAGAAATAGCCTAAAAGCAGCCGATAAAGGAAGAGCACTATGCTGGATGCAGTGGCACACATCTGCAATCCCAGTGATTCTGGAGGCTGAGGCAGACAAGATTGCAATTTGGTGGCTAGCCTCAGCAACTTCATCCTAAGCAATTCAGTGAGACCCTGTCTCAAAATTAAAAGGGCTAGGGATATTGCTTAGTGGTTAAGCACCCCTGGGTTCCATCTCCAGTGCTAAAAAAGAAAAGAAAAAGCACTAAGACAGTTGACTTCTTAATGATGATGGAATCTGGAATCCAGAAGATAATGGTTTTTACCTCCAGAGTGCTTTAGATTCTATATTCAGTGATCATATCTTATATGAAATATAGTTTTCAACAACAAAATACTGAGTTTATCACTAATACACCCACACATGCCACAGAAAGTAATCCATGAAAGACACTGGAAAATATAAGTAGGAATGAAAGTCAACAGAAAGGGGAAATATATAAGTAAATACAAGTTAATATTGACTATTTGAATAATAACAATAACTTTGGGAGCAATATTAAAATGTAGAAAAACAACAGCCTATAGATAAGGAAA